CCCCGCGGTGCCCCCCCCTGTCACCCACAGAGACATGGGATTTCCACCAAGGCCCCCCCCCCCCCACAGGACACACCAGCATTTCGGGGAAATGCCCTGTCCTGCTCCCCCTGCCCTCCAGTAACCCTAGCCCAGCCAGTCAGCAGGCAGCACTGGTCTGCATCACCAGTCTCTGGCAGACTCCAGGCAGCTGAGGTTCTGCTCGCAGTGTGTGGGGCCCGCAACATCTCTGCTGTGGGGACCTGCTCACGGTGGCTCAGGACACCTGGGTCTCTCTGGGAACACTGGAGGTGAGTTGGAGCTGGGATGCAGCCTGGGGTGGGGCTGAGACAGGAGCCCCTATGACACCCCAGCACTAGCTCCAACTGTCCTGTGCATCCAAGTCCTTGGGCAGCAAACAGCAGCGTTTTTGGGGCCTGTCTTTTAGGAAGCCTCCCCGTTTGGCTCTAGGTCTATATGGCCAAGGCAGGAGCTCCCCTGGACACCTCCGACAAGCCCTGAACAAGCGGTGCTTCATGCAACCCATGCGTGACTATATCTGATTTCCAAACATTTTGGAGGCCATCCCTTCCCTCCTGGACTTTTTTCTCATGCTTTTTTCCTGCTTTTCTTCTTCCTGAGATGAAGGTGCATGTTCTGCCTGTTCCAGAAAGGTGGAAAAGCCTCACATCTCTGACATGAGCCCACCCAGTACGCTCCGGTCACGTCTCCAGGATGTGCAGGGGCTTCCCAGTGCCTTCCCCATCCCTGCCATGCCCTGAGAGCAGGGCTGCGCTCTCTCACAGCACGGGTCCCACCTGCACAACGTGAGGTGTGAACTGGGCTGCAGCAGGGCTGGAGGGAGCTGTGTCCCTGCCAGGGGCAGCTGCCCCAGCTGGCCAGCCCCAGGTCTGCCCTGGAGGACAGCAGCTCCTGTCTGATGCCCTCAGCTGTGTGATGCCAGGAGCGGCTGTTGTTGCTAATACTGATGCCACCTGCTACTTATTTTGTTCTGCTAACAGGAGGCATTTTTTAGTCAGCAGAGCGACTGCTCTGCTTCCCACCGGCTCCCCTTTTGGACCAACCGCACGGCCCTGCCTCATTCCAGTCGTGGAGCATTTCCCACTGGGGGGGGTGCTCAGAAAGCAACATCGCTGGTCTCCCCGTGTGACCCCAGCGTGCCACCCACATGCAAGCTACAGAGTTTCACATCCTCCCCAGTGCACGTCATCTGCTTTCTGTTCCAGCCGCACCTTCCTCTTCTGCTCCCGGGAAAGGAAACAGGCCCCGAGCTGCTGTGCTGCCTTTTCCACATCGTAACTCCCAACTCTCCCACCTCCACAGAGTGGTGTCCCAAGGTGGATTTGCTCCTTATGTGTTTGGGGTTTTTCCCATGCCTCCTTCTCCTCTACAGCAACAGTTTCACCAGTTTCTTTTGGTTCTTCTTCCCTGCCCTGTGAGCTTGGACCCCGCCACGCACGCACTGTCCCGCACTGGCACAAAATGCCTCCAGCCCAGCCTCTGTGTAGAGGCTGTGCCAGGCCCTGCAGACCCTGGCAGGACATTTGTCTGTGGAGCATCCCACTGCCACCCCCACAACCTTCGGCTGCCAGCACCCACCCGGTGAATGGCAGCCCGTGGGCAGATCCCCTCGGTGGGAGGGGATCCTCTCTAGGGGGTCCTCTCCAGGGCTTTGTGTGCGTGCGTGTGATTTTGTGTGCGTGTGTCCCTCATCCAATGTCCCAGCTTTCCCACAGCATAGGGATCCTGTGTCTGCAGGAACAGACCTGAGGGGGCAAACCGGTCTCGTTGCCTGTAGTTTGCCTGTTCCCTGTCTGGGTAATTCCTCGGCCAGTCCCTAGCCCTTCAGGGGGTCAGCCGCGCACCCATGAGATAAGCACAGGTATCTCCGAGCCCAGCCACCCCTCACGGCCTCCCTGGGTGCTGGTGGACCTAGCAAGGACTCCCCTGCCCCAGCTCCAGGCCCCGACTGAGCATCAGATCTACCCGATCTCAGAACGGCTCCATGCACACTTCTTCTCCCTCCAAGTCCTGCCCAGGGCGATTCCAGTCCTGCCCAGTGCAGGTGCATCAGATCTGCCTGCGCCAGGTTAATCGAGGAGCCACAGGCCCTGGGGCCCAGCAGAGCAGGGATTTGCCCCCGGAAGGCCAAATCGCAGGTGTCTGGGGAGGGATTGCGTCTGGGACAGGTATCTCCCATAGCCCCACCACTCCTTTTCCCTTTCCCTTTTTTTTCATTTTCCAGGGAAATGGCTCGAAGTGTGGGCTCAGCTGTCTCAGGACCCTTCCCACTGCTTGGGGGCTGCACAGCGGCCTTGCCGTGAGTGCGGCTATGTGCCCATGGACTCTGCGAGCCCTCACAGGAGCCATCTGCAATAGATAGGGGCAAGACAGAGAGGGAGGGACCACTGCAGCTTCCCTCATGAGGCTGTTCCCTGGAGGGGCTGAGGCTGGGAGAGCCCAGGAGTCCTGGGGCCACCGTAACTGCTTCCCTCAACTCAAGAGTTGGAGCCAGATCCCAGGAGGCCTGTCCCACACCCGAGACCCCCCCACCCCACAGATCCCCCTGGAGATCACCACCAAGGAGAGCTGCAGTCACCCCCAGCACAGTGCAGAGAATGGACTCGCAATGAAGGTCGCACAGCAGGACCCCCCCCAGTCCACTTGTGTTGGGGCCACAAAGCAGCAGAGCAGGAGCGGAGGGCGCGGGATTGTGTGCACAGGGGGCTGTGGGGCAGGAGACACCTCCCCTCCCTTCGAGGGTCTACAGAGGAGACCCCACATCTGGGCTGGGAGGAGGCGCCGTTGTCCCCATCTGGAAATGGCCGTGGAGCCTGGGGCTCTGGGCAGGGCAGCCCCAGCGCAGTCGCAGCAAGGGTTGGGCGCTGGGCCTAGTCCAGGCCCCAGGCTCTGCAGCGATTTCCTCCGAGTGCAGGCGAGTCGGAGTGGCCCCAAGTGCCACCTCTGCCCCCCAGCCCAGCGCAGGGACGGGTCAGCACTGGGGTCAAGCTCAGGAGCAGTCTCTGTCAGGTCAGCATGTGCAGGGCACGGGCCAGGGATGCGCTGCCGGGGTCTAGCGGGGGGGCACACGGCTGGGATACTAGGGCAAGCGGCTCCCAGCATGCCACCAGCCGTGGGGGCAGGCAGGGAGCCCAGGGCTCTGCCCACTCACAAGGGGCCCCGCGCGTTGCGGGCGCTGTTCATCTTCATGGCCTTGATGATGAGGACGGTGCCCACGATGATGCCCACGATGCCCACGGCCAGGCCCAGGGCGCACACCAGGGTCTCGGTGCTCTCGGACACGGGCAGGGGCACCTGGGGCTCTGCGGAGAGACGAGGGCGGGGGTGAGGGCAGGGCCCCGAGGCGCTCGCCGCCTGCGAGGGGAGAGGACCCAGGCGTCCGGGTCCCGGCCCAGCGCCCGCGCTCACCCCAGTGCTTCAGGAGGGCCTTGGGCAGCCCCCAGTGCTCCACCCGGCAGTCGTAGTAGTCGCCCCGGGTGGGGACGAAGGGCAGGTAGGAGAACTTGCGGAAGCCATAGTCCTCCCGCGGGTAGAAAACGGTCTCGACGACGCCGTCCACCACCTCCTGCCCGTTCTTCAGCCACTTGATGGTGATCACAGATGGCCAGAACTTGTCCACGTAGCCGATGAGGACGCCATAGTCCTCCCGCGGGTAGAAAACGGTCTCGACGACGCCGTCCACCACCTCCTGCCCGTTCTTCAGCCACTTGATGGTGATCACAGACGGCCAGAACTTGTCCACGTAGCAGATGAGGACGTTGGGCTCCCCCAGCTCCACAGGGTCCTCGGAGAACACTGTCACTTCAGGTGGCTCTGGGGGAGACACGGAGAAGGGGTTAGTGCAGTCTGGCCCTATAGCCTGGGGTCAGCCAGGGCCCTGCTGACTGCCCATAGAGAAGGCCCCAATGTGCCCCATGGCCCACCCAGGGAGACCCTGCAGTCCCGTTTGGGGACCCCTGTGTGCTCCAGAGGTGCAGGAGCACCTGCCCTGGCAGGGCCCTGCCCGGGGGAAGGCACCGGCCGGGCCGCGGCCGGGTTGTTACCGATCGTCCCCTGTGAGCGGTTGGAGGCCTTGATTGAGATCTCCATGTTCTGTTTGCCTATAGCTATGTTCTGCAGAGCTCCCTGGGCCTCGAAGCTGGCGAACTCCCCGAACTCAGGCAGGCGCCAGATGGTCTCCGCCTTCTGCAGATCCACGTGGAAGATCTCGTCCCCATCGAAGTCGAACATGAACTGTCCGCCCTCCTGCTGCAGCGTTTCAGCGCGCTGGTAGAACTGAGCCTGGATCAGCATGTTCCCCACTGGGAAGAGACAGGCATGAGGGGTGGTGCCTCCCCCACAGCCATGGGGCAGGAGCTGCCCAGAAACGAGCCCCATCTGCCCCACGGGCTCCCCACCGGGACAG